CACATGGCCGCGGGAAACTTCGGCCGGCGCACGGGGCGGGGGCAGTCCCGGGGTGCCGTGGGGACCGGGGAGGGGAAGGAGCGGCGGAGCGGGCACGGGCGGGCTGGTGCCACCCTGCGCGGAGCGGAGCGGTGCGCGTCGCCCCGGGCGCAGTGCGCGGGCGGCGGCGGCGACTGAGCGACGGTCTCCGGACAGGTGCGGGCGGGTCGGGGCTGCGGGAAGGGAGCGGCGGCCCCGCAGTGCCCGGTGCGGAGCGAGCGGGACCCGGAGCGGGGCAGCGCGGGCCGGGCGGGGGAGCCCCGGGGGGCGGCTTTTGGTTCGGGCGTTTTGCCTTGCGGCTCCGGCGGGGTGGGAGAACAAGTTGCTGAGCGATGTAGCACGGGGGCACAGGGTTCAGGTGGAAAATCCAGGCAATTCCCCTCTGGGTGTGTTTTTGAGGGCTGTTTTGGGCTTTTTGTTGGGTTCGGGGTGGTTTGTTGTTTTTTGTTTCGTTGGCTTTTGGGGGGTTTTGTTGTGGTTTTGGTTTTTTGTTTGTTTTTAATAGGGCACAGAGGAAAACGTTAGTGCACAATGCTGAAATTGGTGATCTGGTCGCTGAGGCAGGTATCCAAAAAGCAGCAGTCGCTGGAGCAGCTACATTACTGTCGTTCTTCGTGCTAGCGTGAGGTTTATGTGCCTTTGCGAGGAAGGTCACTTTTTACCCTCTTCCTCCCCCCGCCCCCCCCCCCCAACAACCCACCCTCCTTTTGCTAAGCCGTGCATCAGCAGCATGAATTCCAAGAAGCAGTAGGTGTTTCTTGGCATTTCAACTGGGATTTTGGAAAGGAAAGCCGGGTATTTAATGGGAAAAAATTGCGATGGAAGGAAAGGATGCGGAGGCTGCACACAGCCCTGGGTTTGCAGGCATGTGGAAGTTGTTGAAATAGGTAAAGGGTTGAAATTGGCATTTGGAAAATGGTGGCTATTTTTTTAGTTACTTGTACCACAGATGAATATTGGGAAAAGCTGGGCCACAAAGAATTTTTCCTGTTTTGCAGTTTGCTGACAGCAGAAGGTAAAACATGTCCTTGAAGATACACAATTTTACATAAACAGCTGATGTTTACATAAGCCTAGATAAGTTTGTGAAAAACGCAGATAGCAAAAGATGCGGTGTTAGCTGAACTCCGGTATCCTGCTCTGTGTCCATGCAATAATTTATCAATTTTTTGTATTGTTGCAGTGTAAGAACAAAGTGAACAGCTGCACCTTCACCAAAGCAACCACCTGCGTTCCTCTTCTCCTCTGGAATGGACAATGGGATGGTCTCTGACTTTATCATGATCAAAAACTTCTTTCTCTTCTGCGTTTCCATGAGTTTAGCCAGCCACTTCGGGTGAGTTGCCAGTTGAATTTGAATTTCTGCTGTGGCTTTTTTAAGGAGATGAGAAACCTTGGCTCTGTGTGGTACAGAGCAGCTGAACAAAACAAGCGGGCTTTGCATTTCATCTTAAGGTGCTGGTGTTGGGGGGAAGGGAGTGGTTTGCTCTCCTGTTCAGATTTGCTCTCTTGTGTCAGTTCTTTATGCCTGCTATGGTGGCACAGGGAAAGGCTTGTGGGGCACAAGGAGTTCACATCAGGCCTACAGCTGCTGAGTGCTCTGACCTGGGTTTAGAAGAGCCGGGGGCTGTGGTCCCCTCTGCCCCTGTGTCTGTGATGTCGGGATCTTGCACCTTCCCTCTCACCTGATGGGTGCTGGTTATAGGCAGTAGTGCAAAAAAAAACCCCAAAACTGCGATAGTGTGACTTGATGCATGTTACTAGCTGGTACAGGCTTTCCTCCTGATTGACCTAAGATAGTGACTGCTTAGAAGGATGTCTGAGTTGGAAACTTGTTAGAATAATTAGAAATCATGTTTCCCTGAAGCATGAAAGGAATCCCGTTTCCTTATTTTTGCTTTGGATGATTTCCTGACAGTGATATTCTGAAAACTGTATCAAAGAGATGCTCCAACTCTAGGTCTCAGAAAATGAAAAATAAAGTCAGAAACCCTCTATTTACGTGTTTTCCCTATACCCAGAGACCTTAAGAACTTTCTGAGTATGATCTATACAATGGAACCTGGAAAAAGCATTTTGCAAGTGCTTGGGAAACGTAGGTTGATTCTTCTTTGTGGAGGAGAACAATTATTTATGATTTCACCAGAAAAAAATGAATCCTCCCAACATGCTGATTCACAAGCGCACCCATCAATTCCTTGCTATAAGAAGATACAAAATGGAGATGCAAATCAGTTTCTGATTTCAAGCAAACGGATTTGTTCCAGATTGGAACTAGGAGAAAGACCAAACTTTGAGTGGTGATGTTTTTGCTGTATGCAAAGCTTAGCCTGGTATCCAGCACGTGTCCCATGCAGGTAGGTGGAAGCCTGTAACCTCTGAGGTTTCTATGAACAGTTGAAGGACTGCACTCTACAAAGGATGCAAAGAGTTGCACACTCATCTATTCACCTTGGAAAAACCTGGTCCTTCTTTCACCATGGTCTAATGCAAAAGTGTCCCAGGATTTTGTGACAGAATTTAAGAGGGCAGAGTGGGACTTACTTTAAACTTGTCTTTACATCATTGTAGTTTGACAAAGTATTTCCACATTGAGAAAATCTTGGTGACTATAACAACTTCTTGGTTGTTCGTCATCCCTGCAGAAGGCAGCGTATTGCAATAGTTGAGTGTGACCCGCTTGGTGTGTGGGTCTTTTAAGTGTGTATCTCCTCTAACAGAAGAATAGATAGACGAGGATGCAAAAAACCCCAAAACCAAACAACCCAAAACCCAGACGGTTTAACTCTTTCTTGACTCCAGGGCAAATACTGAATCAAAGTCCCAGGTACAGGTCGGTGTGACCTGTAACCTGGCAGATAACCAGAATAGGACAGTTAGAGGAAACTAGGACGCTTGTTTTCTGCAAGTTAGTCAAAAAGCTTCTGTGCACTAAAATGAGATCATCACATAAATTCCCCCCACCCCACCCCCCTCGCCCCCCATTTCTGATCCAGTAATTTTAGTCCAGGCCTGCAGAGATAAGCAGCTCCAATTCACTGCACCATTCACACACTGCCTGAGGGCTGAATTTTGACCCTGCTAGAAAGACAGAGGATGCTCCAGCGCTTCTGCTTCAGAGGCAGAAGCAGTTTCAGAGTGTAATTTGCTAAGTGCTTTGGGACTGACTCTTCAGGACGGAGGAGTACAATTAACATGTAGGCTGCTGTATTAACTGCAGGAATCTAATACTGATAACACTTGCTGTTGCTACCAGATTCTTCTTTATTAGCTTCATCCGTGTTTCTGCTGCCCTGTTATATTGCAGTGAGTTTTGCAATGTGCTAGATAAAAGTGATTGGTCAAAGGAGTACAAATTAAAAATCAGAATACTGTAGGACATTACAGATGAAGGCAGATATTTTTCTACAGTTCTCCATAGTCATTTCATATTTATATTAAATCATAAATATAGTTTTTGCTGACATAGCCAAAGCCACCTTGGGGGATTTTGATGCACAATGCCTGGTAACATAAACAGAAATTATGTATCTCAATCTACTAGGCTACTTGAGAAATCTCAGCAAAAGACTGTGATTAATGTTAAACATAAATGTGTAATGACTATCAAGAATTATCCACATTAGTAGGCAGTAGAGGAGGACTGTAGACATAATCGGTAGCAGCTATCTAAAAAAAAATCACTGAATTAAAATGCAAAGATATAGATGAACTGAGAAGAGGTTTTGAACTCCCCCCCTCCTGTTTTTGGTATAACAGTTTTGTGAATCTTCTTCTGCAGAAATGGTCCAGCACGAATCAAAGCTTCTTCTAGCCTATTTGAATTCAGCCTTGAGTTGTATAATGCTCTAACAAGTTAAGGTGTTTCACCTAAGCATTTCAAGATAACTCACAATTGTCTCAAAAGTAAACATTAATAATAAAGCTAGAGGATGATTAAAAGTAAAATAAAACCATGAAGAGTATTTTCAGGCGAGATAAAACACCGCTTGTGAGCCCTCAGGGTGCCCAGGTAGTGGCAGCCCTGTGAGGGTTGCTGGCACTACCTGGCTGCTTACACACAGCTTACACCCTGAGATGAGGTAGCCCATGGCTGGCCCCAAGCTGGCCAGCTCTTACTTTGCAAGTCCCAGGCTGTCCATGGGGTCACACTGGTGATGCACAGTCCTGGTGTGTTTGCGTTTTGGATGTGCAATTTCAGAAATCTGTCTCAGAGCCAGAACCAACAGGAATGGACGTTGTTCATGTACCCACAGTATAGTTGCCATCTGCTAATAATATTTATAATAGCAGAAACACGGAGAACAGAAGATCCCAATTATGTGTAGCCAACGCAGCACTTCTCTGTACACTCTGAAGAATTCAGTCCATGGTGTGTCTGTATTTTCACATACTTCTTCTCCAGCTCACAGCCATTATTACTAAGACCATAATCCTGCTATTTAGGCAAAACATACCTCTCCTTCAGGCTGTTATTTCAAGTTAGTGTCTGCAGCCCTAAGCAGTTCGTTCTGCTGGGATACCTGATTTCAAGTACTTGTGATGCTAGGGAGTTCTTCCTCATATTTTTAAAGACTAATTTTGTAGGAATTATTGTATCCTTATGCAGTCATGCTTGTCTATTTTTTTTTTCTGTCTTCCTTTAATTCTTCATATCTCCAGATAGCTTTTTGAACCCATTAGACAATTTTAATAACTGGAAAACTAAATTGATATCTGGAACTGCATCGGTCAGTCAGGACTGACAGGTATCGGTCAGTCCTGTTCAGCTGAACAGCTGAACGGCTTCAGCATCTCTGGCCCGCCAGCTGGCCAAAGAGCAGGAGTGTCCCTCAGGTCATCCAGCTCTGCTTGGTGCAGGAGAAGCCCTGGCATGCAGTGCCTCCCAGTGAAGCTGCAGGTCAGTGACCTGGGGAGCTGAGAGTGGTGGGAGGTGTTTAACGGCCCTGGAAGCAGTTCAGGACATCGAAAGGGGCATTAGGATGTCAGGGAATAGGGAGGACTGTAAGAGTGTCACCCTGTGAAAAACAGGCTTTCACTGCACTGCTCACAAATTGCTCCTTCCTGAAGGCAGTAAAACACTGCTCTTGCTAAACAAAAGAATTAAATTATTTTTTAATAATCTGAGTATAGTTTTAAAATGTTATCATTTTAGTCAGTCTTCTGTTCTAATCCGATGTGAAAGAATTGAGTCTTCAGTGCACAAATTCACAAAGTCAACATCTTTAGATCTCAAGAATCCATACCGAAGGGGTGGCAAGAAGCTAACTTAGAAAAGTAAATATATTTCCTTTGATGCCTGGCCATCAAAGGCTTTATCCAAACGTTTGTGTTCTCCACTGTCTTCTACAAACTGTTAATTTGTTTGAAGTTCAGATATAATTGCAATCCTATTAAAGCAAGTTATTGGAAACACTACTCTTAAAAGAGAGAGAGTAAAATATATCTTTCAGTAGTAAAATACTCTTCAGTTATTTTTTCAGAAATTCTTACTTTTTCTTTTTAAAGAAGTTTTGGGAAAATCATTAACTATCTACCATACTTTTTCCTCTTATTATGGCTAACCTGTGAGTAGTACCTACCATGATTCTGACTAGATGGCAAAAAAGACAATGATATTTAAAGTGGTAAATTATGAAGTCATCAGAAGAGGTAGCTGAGCATCTGTAGAGAGTTATTACATTTTACACTGATGGGCCCCTTCTGTGGCTTCTGATTTTTTCAGTTACCCTAAAATTGCAATATTAAATAAATGTGATGAGAAGTATTCCTGGTTGGTTTAGTTTATGTTCAATAATGAGCTTTAAATGCAATTATCTCTGAATTTTCTTAGCATTTCCCTAAGATGCTTTTATAGGTTTATTTTTATCCCTAACTGAAAATTTCTGCTATAAAAACATTTTTCACTGCAGAGAGGCAATAATGTGCTTACCCACTAATATGTTGATAAAGCCTAATCCTTAGCTGTGTGGAAATAATTAGTTTAGGGTAGGTAGCACCTATTTCTCTCTATTCATTGAGATATATAGTGTCTAATGTGTGCATGTAGCTTTGCAAGTAGAGTTTACATGTCTTTTTACATGTCATGACAATCTCAGCCCTTACTCCAAAACACGCATTTCACCAGCAATCTCAATAACAGAAATTGCATGCTAACTTTGTGTTAAGACTGAGAAAGTCACACTTACATAAGAGCAAACAGCAATCCATCTACAAATGCAACTTCACATAATACTGGCATTTCACTGAAATTTGGAATCAGATGCCTTCTTTTTTGGGTGAAGTGATCTGCCAAATCTAAATTGGATTGCAGTTTTTCAGAAGTGCAGACTTTTTACTAGTCTTCACCATAGTTGTTTCTCCTGCTTTCCCCCCTATTAATTAGCTTTTGTTGTGAAGAAATCAAAATATTTCAGTGTATGGGGTGTGTGTACTGTTCCTGTGAAAGACGTACATAACTGAGATAGAAGGAAGTAGCATCAATTACTCTTGTTAGATTGAGAGGAGCAGTTCTGAGATTTAAATATATTTTGTCCCATCCCCACAAAAATAGTTCAATGGAAATCCTCCCTCAGAGTTCAATTGGCTTTGAATTCAGCCATAAGCACTAAAAATAACAAGCTTTTTCAAGAGCAGAGAAACTAGTGTAGCTTTGTGTCCTGTGCCCCCAGCACTGCATTTTGCAATAATCCCAGCTCCGCATTTGATATCCCTTGTTCCCATCTCCCATTGCAACACCTACATTTTACCTGCACTGTCCTTTTCTCCCAAGATCTTTCATAATGACCCTGCAAGTCTCCTCCATATCTCTTAATTGTCAGAGAGGAGGGGGGCTGGTCTTGCTGAGGCTGTTTCTGAGCTACATGCATACTGAGTGGCCCAGTCAGCGAGCCAGAGGGAATAGGTGACTGCTAACCTCACATTTTTACTTAATGAGGCACTAATTTAGATTGCTCTCCCCTTGTCTAGTCACAGCTTCTCATGAAACTTGTAGGAATGAAATGAAGTTTGATCTCTCTGCTTCTTTGTCAGATGCAGTGGAAAATGAAAATGGGTTCCTACGTTGATGCGGTGTAGCAGGCAGACAGCATGATGCATATCTCTTTCTTATGAAAAAGAAAAGATAAAATAGATGAGAAGAGTCAAAAATAGTATTCTAGGTGTACTGGATTTTCATGCTTTATACTAGGATTTTATCAAAGCATTCATTGTGGTTGCTGCATTTAAAGAAAGTCTCCAAGTTCTGTCTCCTGTTTGCATTTGTTAGGCTGCTACTTGTGCATATTCATTTTTAAATGGTGAATCCCTTCAATTACAATTGACAAAAAAGTGTACAGTCTTTTTTCTGGAATTGTCCAGCCTGAAAACATGTCTAATGTTTCTGTAATCAGTTTGCACCTGCTGGATTAACTTTTTTATTGTCTGCCTCAGTTGCTCACTAGATGTTGTTGTCACAGCAAAGAAAACAGAATTAATTTGGTGTTTTGACCATGGAGATGAAAAACAGGCAAGATTTGTGGCTATGCCTCTACCTGCAGTGAGCAGAGATCCTTGGTGGCCCCAAGGCTCCCAAGGCTCTGCAGTGTGGAGCTTGCTGAGGGTTGCAGCAGTGCCAGCTGCACTTAGGAGGTAAGAAACCTCCTCCAGGCGTTTTCATGGACTTTGGTGTTTCAGGGAATCACATCGGTGCACCCTGAACCTGACCTTTCTCCCGTGTCCTGAGAGGCTTTGCAATCCCTTCCTCTTTCAGCAGAGGCATACAAACTGTAAAGGGAACGAGGGCAGGACTGGGGGTGCCCGGGTCTGTGGGGGCATACATGGCTGCGAGCATCTTCTTCTGAGCTAGGTCTGGTGTCATTAAAACTTCCAGATGCACTACAGGGGTGTTAGTGAGGTCTCATTAGTGGAAACCTTATGCAGGTAAAACCATGTTGAGGTCCCTTTGTCTTTCTTTGTATGAATCCTATTCTGTTAGGTAAGGCAACCACATATGTTACAAGTATTCTTCAAGGAAAGCTGTTCAGAGAGATGCTGAGAACTTCTCTATTTATTTACAGATTTATTTTCCGGGGATGGGTAGTAAATAAACATGGATTCTTTTTATTTATTTATTTATTTATTTATTTTTATATCTGGATGACTGTCTCCCATCAAGTTCAGGTTGCTGAGTGTAAGTTATTCCTGCCTGCTGGCAGGGTGCATGAGGCAGGGAACAGTTCCTGGTGGGGCGATGTGCCCTGTCACAGCTGGAGGATTTGCCGGTGATCTCAGCAGAGGCTGAATCATGAATAAGTGCCTAGTGTGAGCTGTCTTAAGAGATGCTCATTGCTTGCTGCAGATGAAGCACGCTTGTGGATAATCTCCCATGTCTATTCTTTAGGTAAGCAAAGGCATTAATAAGCAGGGGATTCTCCTAAGCATCTTTAAATGAAAATCAAACAGATTTAAAAATGCGAGTTGTTAGTTGTGCTGTGAGCAGCTTCCTAGGTCTGAGCCATGGATAAAATAATGAAATAAAAAAGAGTTCGGAAAACAAGTCTGGCCCAAAAGATATGGAATGAGGCCCACTACACATTGCTGTTATTTGCATACTACAAGGGAGAACTAATTTATGCAAAAGAGAGAGGAGGAGTGAAGAACTGTGTTTTCTGTACAGCAGTATGTTTTTCAGATACCCCAGTGATACCCCAGTGGGATTTTTCAATGTAGTGGGAGTTTGTTATCCTCAAATAAGGTCACAGTTCATCCTTTGTTCTGGCAATAAATTATAGAAACTTTGAAAATTAGAAGCTGTTTGGCATTTAAAGATTGAACAACACCTTCAGGCATACTTGAAGGTGCATCTCCAGGCAAACCTGTGCTTCTCATGCAGCTCCCCAGCCAGCTGGTGTAGTTCCCAAGGAATGGATAGCTAACCCAGGGAAATCCAGTAACAGTTTTTGCCAGTGCTGTGAGCTGAGCTTGCTCCCTGCCATGGATGGAGCCATGCCAGCCCTGGGGAGGTGGTGGGGCTGATGTGGGATGGGGTAGTGCAGGGGACAGGGATTTGCCTGTGCATTATGGGCAGAGATCAAAGGGCTCAGGTGGCCCCCCATCCTGCATCCCATGGTTTTACCTCCATGGCATGGGTCCTTCTTTGGGTCCTTGTCCAGGGAGAGCTATTGATGAGTTTATAGTAATGATGAAAGAAATGGCTGCAGCTCCCTGTGCTGTTCAGGCGCAGCAGGAGAGGAGACAGCCTTGGAGGCTCCATCACAAAGTTCCCTTGAGACTGAAGCCCCTTGAAACCAGCATGGCTTTTGACACGTTTCCTTTTGTTTGCATAAAACAGCTTTTCACAAACGCCAACACCATCAGTAAAAGAGGAGGCCAATGATAACATCACTATATTCACCAGGATCTTGGATGGTCTGCTGGACGGCTACGACAACAGACTGCGCCCAGGACTGGGAGGTAGGATGACGTGTTGTCCCCTGCTAGACCCGAGCATTGTCTACATGGGCCCTCTCAGATGGGCACCTGCTCTTGGCTGTGACAAGGGACTTGTGTTTGATTAACTAAACTAAGTCCAGAAAGCAGATTTGTCTCCTAGCAAATGGGGCACAAGATATAGATTACTGAAAGTCATGTTCTTCAGTCACTCAGGTCATCTGAGGTTGGCTTAGGAGAGCATCTGTGATACATTTTTTTTTCTGTAATTGAATACGGTTTGGGTTTTTCTTTCTGGTATTTCCTAAGGTGAGCGAGACATTGTGATAGCAGGTTGCTGCAAGATTGCCTTCCTGGTCAGCCTGTATAAAATTATGTTGGTAATGCGTATCTCTTTTAAAAACAGATCCCCAAATCATCCATATTTAGACAAGTACAGCAAATCTGTATTGATATGTCTTTTTGATAACCTCTACAGCAGCTATTTTAAAACCACAGCATGTGAATAGTGGTTGCCATCCTAACCTTGTTGAGCCCTCCTTCAGCTCTCTTTCCCCCAGATTTCTCTCATTTCCTACCCATGTGTAAACCATCTGTTATGTTTCTTCCTGGCCCTTTTTTAATCTGGCTACCCCCACCCCTTCCTCTTGTGAGACCAACACATTGCTTTCATCCCTTTCTCTCCTTCTCCTCTCACTTTACACAGAGATGCTTGAAAATAGGGCTCGATGCTTTTTATCTTATATAACAAACTTCTGAAATTTCTGCCCTTAAATTAAATTAGACCTGGATTTGAAAAGATGCCAGAAGGACTTAGAGACTTGAGGTTAGAAATAATTTGACCTAACTTCGGACATGTCTGATAGATGTTTGGAATCAGGCAGATCCCCCAAGCCAGCAGAGGGGAGTAGGTCCTTCCAAGATACACTTCATGTGATCCTGTGGTAGGTATTGCGTGAGTGCTGGCAGTGTTCACTGACAGCCCAGAAAGCCAATTCCATCCTGGGATGCATCAAAAGAATCGTGGCCAGCAAGTTGAGGGAGGAGATTCTTCCCCTGTGCTTTTGTGAGTACTGTGTCCAGCTCTGGAATCCCAGCATAAGAGGGACATGAACCTGTTGGAGCGAGTCCAGAGGAGGCTACTAAGATGATGAGAGGGTTAGAGTACCTCTCCTGTGAAGACATGATGAGAGAGTTGGGGTTCTTCACCCTGGAGAAGAGAAGGCTCTGGGGGGACCTTATATAAACCTTCCATTGCCTAAAGGTGCTTAGAGGAAAGAGGGAGTGATAGGATGAGGGGTAATGGTTTTAAAGTGGAAGAGGGTAGATTTAGGTTAGGTAATAGGAAGAAATTCTTTACCTTGAGGGTGTATGAGGCAGTGGAACAGGTTTCTCAGAGAAGCTGTGGATACCCCATTTGTAGAAGTGGTCAAGGCCAGGTTGGATGGGGCTCGGAGAAACCTGATCTAGTCAAGGGTGTCCCTGCCCATGGCAAGGGGTTGAAACTAGATGATCTTTAAAGTCCCTTCCAACCCAAACCTTTCTGTGTCTCTATGATCTAAAACTGTCAGTCAGAGGAAAGGCACCCTTGGAGGGCTGGTTTCTTTCTCTTTGTAAGAACAAAGCCTGGACTCCCAAAGGTCAACAACTGCATTTGATCCAGGATGAAATGCCTACTTAAGCATGCTCTTAATTTCATTCTTTTGGGGATTTTTGAGTGATTCAGAAATTAATAGAAATAAGCACTGCGAGTAGGTATTTGCATTTTAAAGCAATTACTGATGCAGAGCCTATGTTTATTACAGAGAGAATAACTCAGGTGAAAACAGACATCTATGTTACCAGTTTTGGTCCTGTGTCAGACACAGAAATGGTAAGTTAGCATGTGGCTGCCAACTCGGTTGTATTTACTTTGCTAAAGTCATTTTTGGAACCATCATTTCTATTCAGATCCTGCAATACCTTGAGTGTTTCTTTGTGCTAGGAATACACCATTGACGTTTTTTTCCGACAAAGCTGGAAAGATGAAAGGCTGCGATTCAAAGGTCCTATGCAACGCCTCCCTCTTAACAACTTGCTGGCCAGCAAGATCTGGACCCCAGACACTTTTTTCCACAATGGCAAGAAGTCTATTGCTCACAACATGACAACCCCAAACAAACTCCTGCGCCTGGAGGATGATGGCACTCTGCTGTACACCATGAGGTAATAGCCAGGGTTGATGTCTTCTGATGCTGATTTCCAGATAACTACAATTACTTGGGGGGACCATCACTTTCTCCACTCCTAGTAGAGCCAGGGAACCAATCTTTCACACATATTTGTATGAATATCAAGAAAAATGAAAAATATAATTGTAGCCTTCAAGTACAGATTAATTAGTAGCTTCTCTGAATAGTGCTAGTGCTTAACTATTTCTTTTGATTAAATAGAAAGCATATTCTCAACAGATTTGATGATTCAGTTCAGCTTTTTTAAGATTATCTGTTCCCTCTTACTGTTTGTGTTCGCAGCAGTAGTGCAGACTGCAGGAAAACAGTCCAAGACCAGAAACTGAGACTTCGTTCTGGGGCAGTACATCTTGAACCCTTGGAGCTTTTGTAGTATTTTTTTTTTATTAATTTGACTAATAGTGCTAAAAGGCAAATGATCGTAGGGATAAATGGCATGAGCTAGCAGCACTGTGAAGCTGCTTTAGCAAGTACAATCCTGCAAACAAAGCTGGGACATTTTATTACCGAGGAGCAAAAGGGTGTCTCAGATCTTCAGAGATGTATTCCTCCTCTAATTTGATTATACTGCTAAGAATCATCATTGCATAATGCAGATAAAAATATAACATAGATGATTTTAGGTGTCTGAAATTCTTTTCAGGACAAATCTCACATCAGTGTATGGAAATTTGCTCATTAAATGTAATTAGCCTCTAGTAATTAAGACTGCTGTCTATCTTCAACAGGGTTTTCTGCCAGACCATAGTCATATGGACAACTTGAAAAAGAGATAAAAGGAAAAACCTACTGAGCAACAAAGGGTTATTCTGAACTTTCCATAAATGAGTCCAGAGTGGTGCCTGAGACCTAGCAGAGTGCTCAGGAGGCTGAATTTGGGCACTGAGATGACTGGGTTTTCAGCAGGCAGCCCCCAGCCATGTGTGGGAAGCTGAACTCCAGCCGGTGTCCTGCTGTGGAGTCACTCAGTCCTGCACGCTGCCAGGGCGAGTCCCAGGCTCGCTCATGGGCCTAGTGGTTAAGACTTATTGAGGCTCAAGAGGGTTTTGTTCTGTACACAGGGACCTGGAGCTTCCCAGGTTTTATTTCAGGTATTTCAGATATGTTTGAGGTTTTTGAGCCTAGTCTTAAATCCCTTCTTATGGGAGGAAAAGGAGATACAGGGTATCCTTACCTATGTCCTTACAACTTTAGATCATCCCAGTTTTAATTGCATTAGCACTAAAAAGACTTAGACATGATGAAAGTCATGTTTAAAAGAAGGAAAAACCATCCTAATTTTCTCTTCTACTATGTGTGTTGCTGTACTTACTAGCCTGAAATCAGTGATCATTGCAATAATAAACCAAAAAATACGAGGATGCAAGGACAGACTTAAAAGTCCAAATGGCTATCACAGAAACTTCACAAAAAAGTTAGTAATGCCAGCCTTAAAACCAGTCTCACTGCTGCATGGACTATGCAATTACCACTCCAGAGATTGCAGCAGTGGCAATTCCCCATTATTTGTGTAAATTACTTGTGTAAGTGGAGTCCAGATCAGACTCACATTCAGCCTGGAGCAGAACATGACGTTGTGGGGCAGATTGCACAATTTCCATGCAAGCACTGGTTTTTGCAATGTTAAACAAATGCAGCGAAACCCTGATTCATGAGGTGAGGAGCTAAGCCACTGCAGCTAGCAGAGTGAGACCTGGGTGAACTAGACCTAGGTGAGCTCATCACTGAATCTGAGTTACTCTGTCTAGGTGTCTCTCTGGTGAAAATGGCACAATATTTTCAGGTCCCACAGGTACCCTACTGAGAAAACCTCAGCATATGCAGCTGGAGAAAAATATGGATGTGACACAGACTTTATCATCATCCCACTCAGCTCCTTTTCTCCTGATTTTTTGGGATTGATGATTTTGTACACTACAGAAAGAACAGAATGCTATTGTAACCTAAAAAACTGCAACATAACTTTTCTTTTTGTTAGAATATTGGCTATGGAAATAACATTTCTACTAACCACAGTATATGTGATAAGAAATAGAGTGCAAAGCTTTTAAATCCGCTTGCTTTCAAATATTACAAGAAATAGTGGAAAGTGCTTTTGTAACATGCATGGAGCTGCGCTCCTTTAGAAGCAGAGCCATTCTGTGCCACAGGGTGGCTTGAGGGTTCCCTCCCAACCCTGTTCAGAGGTGACTGTGACAAGCAGCCAGCCCCTTCAGCTTCCTTGAGTGTTCTAACAAAGGGAACAGCTAGCAGAGTTACCTAGGATGGCTTTTCTTGAGAAGATACATAACACTGGGCTTTTTTTGGGGGGAGCTGCTTGTCTCAGTGGTAGTGCATTGTGAAGTACTGAGCTTCAGCTGAGGCTTGAGCCCCAGTTCCTGTAGCTCCCATCAGGCTTACTCAGTTCTCAGGATCTGGGGATGTGTAGACAACCCTCTGTTAGCTCTGCATTCTCCTCGTTTCCAAGGAGGAATTGCGAGCTTCCCAGACTGTACGTAGGAGTATTCTGTGTGGGGAGGATTGGACCCTCTGTCATTGACAGAGATGCCTGAATTGCTTTTGCAACCTTGCATCTGGCTGCCTGAATGAAGGGGAGGAAAGCAGCCGAGCCAATGCTGACCTTCCATCCTATTTCACTTCCAAATATACCAAGTATGAGCAGCTGAGCAAACTTCCAGCTTTAGTACTTGTCAGGACATACGTTTCCATGACACACGTGTTTACTTATAAAGAAAAATGCACACCTCGCATATTGCATTGGATGATACGTTGTCTGGGTCGGAAGTTGATGGGATGTGTGTTGCTAGGGAAATCTGATAAATAGGCTTCTGTATACGTGTGCCATTAAAGCCCTTCTGTGTGAATACAGGAACACAACGTGTCCTCGAGACAGATTTCACAGGCAGCAGTGTTCTCTGTGGGGAATAACTTAATAATTCTGCTTGTCTTTCACTTGGGAGGACCTATTAGTTTTATTTCACTAATGTGATTTACAAATGAAGCGCTCCTGAATGGAACACTGCAAATTCTGTTTCGGCCCCTAGAGGGGAGTATTGTCTGTAGCTCCACTTTCAAATTTTTTACTTTTTTTTTTTTTTTTTTTTTTCAGTAAAAACAGTGTTATAAAAAGCACTAGAAAGGATACTTCATATTTCACTTATATATAGAAAATAGCTTTGTGAATGAAGGTAAAAATTAGCTTATTTCCTTTTCAAAAATTAAAATGTATTTAGTTTATCTTATCTGAGAAATAAATATTGTTAAAAGTATAGAATTCATTTATTTTGAAAAATTGGAACAGTGATTTTAAGCAGCATTTTCAGGCTAAGAAGAGAACGATCATGTTTCAGTGAGCTGCATTTTTTTTTTTTTTTTGCTCAGTGGGAATTGGCTGTAAAGACAGAAGCTTTGATAAACTCTGCTGTAGAATGCCAGAAAAAAATGCTGTGAAGAAAAGAAGCCAAAAATTATATAGTAGAGCATCCTAACTAGAGCTAAACTTTTGGACCATAAATTAACTTTTGGCCAGCAGCTTTTACAAATTTTTAAATGGTTTTCTACCAGTTCATAGATAGTGAAAAATCTTTCTTGTGCCGTCACAAAAGCACTCATTAGAGCTCCATTCTCATTGTCAGTTTGAAAGGACCCCACATCCCTTTTTTTACCACCAGGGCTTCTACGCATCTGATATAGTCTGGGAATTTAAATAGGACATAGTCATACATCTGAGGAGTGCACAAACAGATTTTTTCCCATGTTATTATGGTGACTGAAGGTTGCCAGAGAACCTGGGAGAGTTTACAGTAAAATCTGTCCCAACAATTTGGATAGTAATAATTCAACAGCTGGAGAATGCAGACATTCTTCAGCATGGTGTTAAAAAAAAACCTCCAAAATTTTTAGTACAGCCCTGAGATTCTTTTATCTTGTTCCAGAAAGATATTTGCAGTTCAGCAGTGTGTGTCCACTTGATGGCAGCATAACCACGCTGCTTGCTCGGCTGTGGTGCACACGCAGGCTTTCCTAGGCTGAAAATACTGCTTCTTACAGTAGCGCTTAGTGCTAAAATTGTATGTGAAAGTGAACACATGTCCTGGGTGCATGTTAGCACTAATTCTGCTCTTCCATGAAGGACTTGGATTAGCAACCTAACCATGTTATGCTCTAGAGATATTGATCATAAAACCAGTTGACCAGAAGATATGGTGCTTCTTTCAAGACTTTTAATGGGAAAGCCAGGGCTGGTTTGTTTGTTTGTTTGTTTGTTTGTTTGTAAGGGAAATTTATTCTATAAGAAATGTGTACGTTCTCAAGCTCTGATTTTGCTAGACACAGGTTTGCTAGTATGCCCACGAGGGACAAGTGACCAGGAAATCTATGATTTAAAATGAATCTTCAGTTTTCCATCAGCCAGATGTCTAGATGGGAACATTTCTGTTCAATCTGAATTTTATTATTTCTTATTTTTATCTACAGAAAGGTATCTGTCAATGCTGTTTAGGTATTGTATAAATATTGCAAAACTAATTACAAGCTATGAAGACATACAAATATGCATTTCCTTCTCTGTGTTAGACTTGCTGCATTTTGTTTTGTATTCAAGCTTCAACCTGCCTGAAGCTGGAAGAAAAAAAAACCCCGTGATTTCTTTACATTGGGCTGAATCTTGCAGAGTGATGAAAAATTGCCGTGGTGGCAAGGACTCTCAGCTGCTTTTCATCAATTCAGATTTTGACAGAGCGAGAGAAAATAGGGATATGTGAAGTGAAGGGCCCTTCCCTGAGGATAGCAGCAGGATTCTTGTTTAAACACCAAGTCTCTTGGTTCCCATGGCTCTGTTTTGGTTGAGAAACATTGCCCTGTTTCTCAGAAGTTGTCCTTCAAGGAACCACAATTTGTTGTGTTGAAAAATCCAGCGCTGGAGTTACAGGGAGAGGAAGGCAACAGAGGAGACTGTGGTGTAATTCATTCAAA